CCATCAGGGGTGGAGCCGGCTCCAACTGCCCACAGCCCCTCCCCCAGCCAGCCAACCCCCTGGGGTCCCTCCCCCTCCAGGGCCGGCCCCCCAATAGGCCAGGCCAAGGGACCCCACCCATGCACGAATTCGTGCACCAGGCCTCTAGTATCTCAATAAAGCTGTTTTTAATAAAATAATAAACACATATAATCTCACAGTTTCTTTGGATTAAGAATTTGGAGCTGGGTGATTCTGGCTCAGGATATTTCATGAGGCTGTGGTCACACTGCTGATCAGGGTCTCACACATCTTTTTTTCTTTTGTTTTTATTGATTTTTTTAGAGAGACAGGGAGAGGGAGAGAAAGACAGAAATATTGATATGAGAGAGAAACATCTATGGGTTGCCTCCTGCACACACCCTAATTAGAGATTGAACCACTACATGGGTATGTGTCCTGACCAGAAATCGAACTGGTGACATTTTGGTGTACTGGATGATGCTCAACCAACTGAGCCACACACGCCAGGGCTCTTCTTATTTTTTTATTTTTTCTTTTCTTCTTTTCTTTTCTTTCTCTTCTCTTCTCGTCTCTTCTCTCCTCTCTTCCCTTCCCTTCTCTTCTCTTCTTCTCTTCTCTTCTCTTTTCCCCTTCCTTCCTTCCTTCCTTCCTTCCTTCCTTCCTTCCTTCCTTCCTTCCTTCCTTCCTTCCTTCCTTCCTTCCCTTTCCTTTCTTTCTTTCTTTCTTTCAGGCTGGAATAAAGCTAGAAGATCCAATTCCAAAGTTCACTTAAATGGTTGGTAACTTGGTGGTCCCAATTGGTGAGAGGCTCAGTTCTCTTCTACATGGGCCTCTCCGAAAGGCTGCTTGAGTGTCCTCAAGCCAGATGTTTCTGTCTTTTATAACTTAGACTCAGAAGTCACACACTTCCCATACATCCTATCATTACACACCTCTGTGGTGGGAGGGTACAACACAGGGCTTGAATACTTGAATCAGGGACCATTGGGGGCCATCATGGAAGATGGCTATGAACACTTGATAAGGAAGACAATGACAATAACAACCAACAATTCTGTGACAAGTACTGTGTGTCAGGCACTGTTCTCAGCTCACAATAAACCTGAGTTAATTACTATTATCTCCATTTCACAGATGAAGAAACTAAGGCACAGAGAAATTGACTTATCAAGGTCACACACTTACAAACTCAGGCAGTATAGTGCCAACATACATTCTTAAAAACTATTCAATACTGCATCCAGATATTATTTAGTTTAATTAAGTATTGCCCGTTTGTTCTCCAGAATGGATGAACCAGTTGAAACTCCCATGAGTTTTCATTCCCCATAAGTTCAGACTCTTGTTTGTTTTGGCCAAACTAATGGAAACTCATTCATGTTTTCATTTGCATTTCTCGATGAGGTAACATACTTATTGGCCATTCTGGTTTTCCCTTTAAGATTTTACCTATTCAAATTCTCTGCACATTTTTGTTTTTCTTCCCAATTTGCAGTAGTTATTTCTATATTCAATCCCTATATAACAATCCCTTGTCAGTTTAGACACTGCAAATATTTTCTTCTAAACTCTACCCATCTGTAGCCTTGCCTATAGGATGCTTTGTTAACTAAAAATCTTTTAATTATGAAGTAGTCAAAGCTATCAAATCTCATGGATTGTGTTTTGAGGAGCTTAACAAATCCTCACCCCAAGGTCACAAAGATATTCTCTGTTTTTTTTTCTAATTTGCTTTAGGATTTTACCTTTCATTTAGGTCTTTAATTGCTGTGGTATTTGTGTGTTTTTTTATATGGTTTGAAATGGGGATCCAACTTTTTGTCCATATAATAAACCAATTTCTGAGCACCATTATCCATCTTTTCCCCACTAATTTGTGACACTACCTTTATCATGTCTCTAAATCAGTGGTTCTCAACCTGTGGGTCACGACCCCTTTGGCGGTCGAACGACCCTTTCACAGGGGTCGTCTAAGACCATCCAGAATATCAGATATTTACATTACGATTCATAACAGTAGCAACATTACAGTTATGAAGTAGCAACAAAAATAATTTTATGGTTGGGTCACAACATGAGGAACTGTATTTAAACGGCCAGAAGATTGAGAACCACTGGTCTAAATAGCCATGTCTGTCTCTTCCTAAATCCAGTTTAGCACTCTTATTTCCTAAGAGGAAAGCTCTATCACTGTGAAAGTTTTCACTGATACAGTAGTCCCCCCTTTCCTACAGGGAATGCTTTCTAACACCCCCAGTGGATACCTGGAATCACAGATAGTACTGAACCCTATATATACCATGTTTTTTCCTGTACATACATACCTTTTCACTTAAAGGAAGCGCTTTACAGCTTCTCTTTGGCTTATCCAAACTGCCAGCACCATTACTCTTGTGCTTTGGAGCCATTAATAAGTAAAATAAGCGTTACTTGAACACAAGCACTGAGATATCACAACAGCCAATCTGCTGACCCAGACGGCTACCAAGTGACTAATGGGTGGGTAACATATAGAGCAAGGAAATGTTGGGCAAAGGGATGATTCAGATCCTGGGCAAGATTTCATCATGCTACTCAAAACGACGGGCAATTTAAAACTTACTATTTCTGGAATTCTCCATTTAATATTTTCAGACATGGCTGACCATGCGTAACTGAAACCACAGAAAGCGAAACCCAGTTAGGAGGCGTTTTACAGCTACTATCCTGCTTTCTATATACCAGGTCAATGAAAAATCCAACCATTACCCTTCATGATCCCCCAGGGATGCAATATTATTAGCTTGTATTCTTCCCAGAAACAGAATACCCAGTTCAGAAAGTGATTTTAAAAAAATAAATGTATGTTTATTAAAAAACCTAACCAAGAACAAACCCTGGGACACTAGAAATCAACGTTTCTTCTGAAAGCCAGCAACAACCGCCAGTGCAGGCACACCTGAGAAATTACAGGTGCCTCAATCCAAACATCAGGTTTCAAATATTCTTCTTTCCAAATGGTGAAATTCTTCTCAAGTGGTTCAAAACTAGCATTCAAAGAGTTGCTGGTGTGTGTGGGCCCTGATTATTAGCATAGATAGCTTTTACAGCTAGACATCTGGCTGGTCTGTGTCCATTACCACAAACTCCAGGAACCCCCACAGCCTCAGAAAAGTTACATATCTTCGACACTCCACTTGTAGGCAAGTTCCTCCACCGCCTTCTTGCTGGCAAGCCGGGCAAAGCGCTTCTGTTCAAATCCATTGGATCTGCAATCAAGAGATATTAATCAGCCAGAATCCTGAACTGGACACTTATTTTGGGGGGAAAAAAAAAGAAAGAAAAGAGTTCACAATTAACGAATAAGGGAGAAAATAAGGCATGAAAAATATTTAAGGTACATGCAATAGAATCAAAAGGACAAAACATAAAGTTCATCCTGTTTTAGTCCTTGTTCAGACTCTTCCCAGTCTTTTATCAACTGTTCCAAACATTTACCACTCTCTAAAGGCCCAACTCACTCTCAGGTGATATCTACATCTTATACTTTATCCATTCATTACATAAACATTTAGTGAATTCTTTACATACTAGGCACTGTGTCATGAAAATGAGTATAGCACAGCACTTGTCCTGATGAACTCTGAGCTCCAGCACTGGGGCAGCAGCTTGATAGGGACCAGGGACACATGGGGAGGAACTAAATTGTCCAGCATTAGGGCAAGAGCTGGAGGGGCAGCATTCTGCCAGAGAGAGGTGCTGTCAGAGGCCATTACTCCTTTGATGAACCCTCCCCCCACAGAGCCAGCAGGCAGGTGCCATATCTGAGATTCCATCAACCTGGTTCACACTATTTGCACCTGGTGATTCCCGGAGGGCCTGCCCCACCCAACTGTCAGGTCCATCCAAGCTATTTCTAGTGGCTGTTACATACAAATGGAAAAGATTTTCCTAAAATCTGTAAAAGGAGCAGCATCTAGCCTCAGTGTGCCCCATACCTATGGCCAAGTTGCCCCAGGCCTGGCACTAGCAGCAGCCAGCCTTGGTTCACAGTTTGGCCTCACCTGGGCACCTCCAAGCCCAGCACAAATAGCTGCCATCTGCAGATTGCTCTGTGGCTCAGGCTGGGTGGCCCCAGGCAGAACACAGGCAGTAGCTAACCTTGGCCTGCACCTTCCAGGAGCCTCAGACCACATCAAAACATCACTACCCAACCACTTCCACAATCAACACATACAAGTTTGACTGAGCAGACACGAGAGCCACACTGAAGTAAGTTCTTTTCTGTGGAGTGGGCCCATGGCACAGCTGATCCTCCACAATGGTCGGAGGTCAGTGGTCAGTGGTCAGTGGTTGCAGCCAGTCCTTGCAGCTGATCAGCCTGCAGGTAAATCCCTCTCATTGATGTGTCAATAGCAATCAATGCTCAACTACAAGAAGAGGGTGTACACAGCCCACACAGGGGGCACACCCTGAGTGCCCTGCTTGGGTGATTGGAGAGGTTGTGCCACTGGACCCTACAGAACTACTACTACACAAGGCCACTCTACCAAGCCTGGGAGACGTAGAAGCTATACTCAATACATAGAAACAAACACAGGGAGGCTGCCAAAATGAAGCAACAAAGAAAAATGTCCCAAATGAAAGATCAGAATAAACCTCCAGAAAAAAAAAACAAACTAAACAAAATGGAGGCAAGCAATCTACTAGATACAGAGTTCAAAACACTGGTTATAAGAATGCTCAATGAACTTAGTGAGAACCTCAACAGCATAAAAAGGACCAGTCAGAAATGAAGGATACACTAACTGAAATAAAGAATAATTTACAGAGAATCAACAGTAGAACAGATGAAACCGAGAATCAAATCAGCAATTTGGAATATAAGGAAGCAAAAAACACCTAATCAGAACAGCTAAAATAAAAGAATTTTTAAAAAATGAGGTTAGTGTAAGGAGCCTCTGGAACAACTTCAAGCATACCAACATTCACATCATGAGGGTGCTGGAAGGAGAAAAGAGAGAGCAGGAAATTGAAAACCTATTTGAAAAAATAATGATAGAAAACTTACCCAACTTGGTGAATGAAACAGACATACAAATCAGGAAGCACAGAGTCCCAAACAAGATAAACCCAAAGAGGCCTCCACCAAGACACATCTTAATTAAAATGCAAAAGGTTAAAAACAAAGAGAGAATCTTTTGTGGTTTTTTAAAAATATATATTTCTATTGATTTTAAAGAGAGAGGGAAGGAGAAATCAATTGCTTGCCTCTGGCACACCCCAAACCCACAACCTGGGTATGTGCCTGAATCGGGAATTAAACCAGCAACCCCTCAGTACATGGGACGATGCTCAACTAACTGAGCCACACTGGCCAGGGCCAAAGAAATAATCTTAAAAGCAGCAAGAGAAAAGCAGTTACTTACCACAAGGGAGCTCCCATAAGACTGTCAGTTGATTTCTCAACAGAAACTTTGCAGACCAGATGGAATTGGCAAGAAATGTTCAAAGTGATGAAAAGCAAGGACCTACAACCAAGATTACTCTACCCAGCAAAGCTATCATTTATTTTATTTGTTTGTTTGTTTTGTTAATCCTCACCGGAGGATATTTTTCCATTGATTTTTAGAGATAGTTGAAGGGGAGACAGAGAAAGAGAAACATCAATGGGAGAAAGACACATTGATTGGTTACCTCCTGCACACACCCCAACCAGGGCCAGGGATCAAGCTTGCAACCAAGGTATGTATCCTTGACTGAAACCAAACCTAGGACCCTTCAGTCCCCAGGCTGATGCTCTACCCACTGAGCCGAATTGGCTAGGGCCAAAGCTATCATTTAGAATCGAAGGACAGATAAAGAACTTCCACACAATAAACAGCTAAAGGAGTTCATCAACACCAAACTAATATTATATGAAATGTTAAAGGGCCTTTTTGCAGAAGAGGGAGAGGAAGAAGAAAAGGAAGGAAGAGGAGGAATGGAAAGATAAAAAATATGAGCAATAAAATGGCAAGAAATACATATCTATCAACAGCTGAATCTAAAAAACAACATCAATGAACAAATGGACCAGAAACAGATTCATTGATGGAGAACATTTTGATAGTTGCCAGATGGGAGGGGAATTGGGGAAGGGGTGAAAAAGATGAAGGAATTAAGAAGTACAAATTGGTTGTTACAGAACGGTCATGGGGATGTAAAGTACAGATAGGGAATATAGGCAATAATATCCTCATTACTATGAATGGAGTCAGATGGGTGTGAGATTTACTGGAATGATCACTTACTAAGTTATGTAATGGCTTATCCCTGGGGTATACACCTGAAAGTAATATAATAATGTATGTCAACTGTAATTGAAAAAAAATATTTAAAAATGGGGGGGGGAATAAATTAATAAAAGAATAATAATAAAAGAAAATGACCAAACATGCAAAGAAACAGAAAATGCGATCAAACTCAAGAAGAAGCTATTATTAGAAACCAATCCTGATGTGACCTAAATTTGCAATTAGCAGACAGGACTTTAAAGCATATTTTTAAATATTCTCAAGAAAGACAAAAATGTTTCTTAATGAGTGCACAGATGGGAAATCTCAGCAGAAAAATATAAACTTTCAAATGGAAATCCTAGAGTTGAAATACAATGAACTAGCTTAAATAAAAAATTCATTGTATGGGCCTGGAGATGGCAGATCAAGGAGTCAATGAACTTGAAAACAGATAATAGAAATTGTCCCAACTTAAGAACAGATAATAGAAATTGTCCCAACTTAAGAACAGAGAAAAATGATAGAAAAATAAACAAGACTTCAGAGATCTGTGGGAGAATATCAAGTGGTAGAATAATAGTGTAATTGGAGAAGGGTGGTTCAAAAACAAAAAAAAAAACAATTGAAGGAAAAATAGCCAAATACTTCCCAAGTGTTAAAAATATAAACTCATAGGTCCAGAAAGCACAACCCAAAGCAGAATAAACACAAAGAAAACCACACCCAGGTACATCATAGTCAAACTGCTAAAAACAAAAGACAAGAAAATCTTGAAAGCTGCCAGAAAAAAAATACATTACTGTGTGTGTGTGTGTGTGTGTGTGTGTGTTGGGGCGGCGACAATATAAGAAATGAGGACTGAGTGTTGACTTCTAATCTGAAACAGTGGAGACCAGAAAATGATGAAACATCTTTAAAGGCTGGCAAAACTGTCAGAACTCTGGTACTGTCAACCAGAGTTCCAGGTATGAGACTGCAACCTCAGAAGTTCGCAGGTGGAATGTGAAATTGGCCTCTGTATACAGAAGACAAGAGACCAAAGAAAGAGGCAGACCACTCCATATTAGAGTTTTAATAAGCAAGGGGACTTACATATAAGGCTGGTCTTGGGCACCTGCCTGCCAGAATCTTAAAAGTTTATATAGAAACTTTAACTTTCAGTCACATATTCAGTCCAGATGGTCTCAACACCTTATTCTCTCTAGACCACATCTTTGAATTGGCTGCTAGTCTGGGAAGAATAAGTGTGACATAAATTCCAAGGACAGGGGAGGGAATAAGGAGCCTCTGATCGTCCAGATAGAGCTTGTGGGTCAACAGGCAGTCATGTCAGTGAAACAATCTTCAGAAATGAAGGCAAGAAAAAGGTCTCTAAATTTCCTTATTTTGATAATGTACTACGGTTATATAAGATTATCATTGAGGCAAGTTGGGGAAGGAATACACTGTAACACACTGTAATATTTTTTCAAGTTCTTGTGAGTCAACAATTATTTCTTAAGTAACATTTTAAAAATATACTGGTGAAACAGACATTTTCACATCAACAAAAACTGAGAAAATGTGGTGCCACTGAACCTGCACTGAGGAATGTTAAAAGCAGTTCTTTAGGAAAGAAGGAAGAGCACCAGAAATGGTAAATATGTGAGTACATATTAACAACTACGCATTTTTTTCTTTTGTTTTCTTAGTATCTTTAAAAAATATAACTGTAACCCTGGCTGGTGTGGCTGTTGGTTGAGCGTCCTCCCATGCACCAAGAGGTCACCAGTTTGATTTCTGGTCAGGGCACATGCTTGGGCTGTGGGCTTGAACCCCAGTAGGGGGCATGCAGGAGGTAGTTGATGATGTTTCTCTTTCATCAATGTTTTTCTCTCTCTCCCTTCCTTTCTCACTAAAATCAACAAAAACATACCATCTATAAATATAAAAGGCTAAGCGACCTTCCGACCACCTGGTAGCTATGACACACACTGACCACCAGGGGGCAG